AGGTGGACGAGCGCGGTGGACCCAGCTCTTTGACCTTCCTGAGCTGGTCCAGGGGCGGCTGCCTGCCTGTGCAGAGGACTTTCTGTCCTGGGGCCGAGGTGGTGCAATAAATTCAGGCTCTGACCCATGGGACAGGAGGGGCACAGGGGTAAACGGTCCCCCTCACTCTCCCCTGGCAGCCGGCTTGTCACAATCCTAGGAAAATGTCCATGATACTGCGCCGTCGAGTTTGCCAACCAGTCCAGGTCGAAACCAGTCAGCCTTGCCACTGAATCTAGTTCCACCTCAGTCCCGCTGAAACTGAGCAGGATGCTAGCCACGCCCGTTCCCATGCTCCCCCCCTGCACCCAGCCTAAATACTGTACCCACACCACCCATTGCTCTTTAATTTACAAAACAAATCAAAAAAAACAAAAACTATCTTCTGCTTTTCCGTCGGTTTGTTAGTAGTTTTTGTTTTTGTTTTGATCTTGTTTTGTTGAAATAACAGAGGCAATGGTTGTCTTGGCTTCGCTCCGTCATTCAGGCTGGGGTGCCGGGGCAGGAGCCTCGAACCCTGGGCTCAAGCCATCCCCCTGCTTCAGGTCTTCCAACCGCTGGGACTGCAGGTGTGACCCACTGCAATTAATCTGTTTTCAGTGGGGCGGCTGGACTGGTTCGACCCCACTGGACTGGTTTGCAAAACTCGCCCACCCGGCGGCAGTATCTGGACTTTTCCATCTTAGATTTGTGACAAGAGGGCCCGGCTGCCAGGGGAGAGTGGAGGGACCGTTGTTACCCTGTTGCCCCTTTCTGTCCGCTGTCAGAGCTGAAATTTTATTTTGACCCACTCGCCCCAGGGAGACAAAGTCCTTCTGCACAGGGGGCAGGCACCGCCCCTGGACCAAGCCTCAGGAAGGTGAAAGGAAGCTGGGTCCACCCGCGCTCGTCCCTGATTTTGGTCCCAGGGCAAAGCGTACAGGGCTTTCCTCCTGCCTAACTGGTTCCTCCGCGCGCATCCAGAACCGGGGTGCAGAGAGCCTTTAGTGCTTAGTCAGAGGGGCCACCTGCTGGTGACCAGTCGGAGGTGCTGGCGCCTGGTTCTCTGCTGGAAGACTCGCATCCACTCTGGAGTATCAGGGCTGGTCACCCAGAGAGGGCTGCCTCGCGCGCGCTGTCACCCAGTGGAGGCTTGTCACCCAGGAGGGCTGTTCTTCTGAAGACTGAAGGGAAAGGATCACTTGAGCATAGGAGGACCAGGCTGCAGCAAGCTGTTATCCTGCAACTACACTCCAGCCTGGGTAACAGAATGAGAATCCACCTCTTAAAAAAAAAAAAAAAAAAAAAAAGGTTCATGTGCATTAAAAAGTGGCATGGGCTTGCATGGAACCAATCAAATTGAGCGAAAAGCCAGACTGGCTCTGGCCCAACAGTGTGAAGTCACTGATCAAGGAACAAAGGTCCTGCCTTCCGTTTACTCAGGAATTCCACTTCTAGGAATCCATCCAGAAGAAATAATCCAAAAAGTGGGCAAAATTTGACACATACACTTGAGTATCACTTTTACTTTGATTGATTTATTTTTTTGTGAGACAGTTTCACTCTTGTTGTAAAGGCTGGAGTGCAACCTCGGCTCACTGCAACGTATGCCTTCCAAGTTCAAGTGATTCTCCTGCCTCAGCCTCCCGAGTAGCTGGGATTACAGGTGCCCGCCACAACGCCCAGCTAATTTTCGTATTTTTAGTAGAGATGGGGTTTCACCATGTTGGTCAGGCCG